CACAGGCAGTCTGAGCAGGGGACACAGGCAGTCTGAGCGGGGGACACGCGGGCAGTCTGAGCAGGGGGCACGCGGGCAGTCTGAGCAGGGGACACACAGGCAGTCTGAGCAGGGGACACACAGGCAGTCTGAGCGGGGGGCACACAGGCAGTCTGAGCAGGGGACACAGGCAGTCTGAGCGGGGGACACAGGCAGTCTGAGCAGGGGGCACACAGGCAGTCTGAGCAGGGGACACACAGGCAGTCTGAGCAGGGGGCACACAGGCAGTCTGAGCGGGGGGCACACAGGCAGTCTGAGCAGGGGGCACACAGGCAGTCTGAGCAGGGGGCACACAGGCAGTCTGAGCAGGGGGCACACAGGCAGTCTGAGCAGGGGGCACACAGGCAGTCTGAGCAGGGGGGACACACAGGCAGTCTGAGCAGGGGACACACAGGCAGTCTGAGCAGGGGACACACAGGCAGTCTGAGCAGGGGGCACGCGGGCTGAGATCAGTGCTGTGAGGCGCTCCTGGTGGCCTGAGGAGAGTGTCACAGGCAGGGGAGTGGCAGGTGCAGGGGCCTGGTGTGGAGTAAGTTCACCCAAGGGTGAGCAAGGCAGTGTGAGCAAGGGGAGAGAGCACAGCAGGGCCACACAGGCTGTGCACCATTCAGAGTGTATCCTGAGTGCCTAGTGGATGCCACGGAGGGCTCTGGGCAGGGGTGGCACAAGATCTGTGTCTTTTTAGAGATGACCCCGTGCTTGCCACGTGGGGGATCCGGGCCTGAAAAGATTCCATGACAAACAGGGTGGAGGCAGGAGGCAAAGGAGGAACCAGGACCAAGTGTATTTCTAGAGCCAGGAGAGGAGGCCTTGCTGCAGGTTTGGTTGGGAAATGTGTGGTGGGTGACTGGAGGTGCCATTTACAGAGGTGCAGGTGACGGGTGGGCGGCGACCAGGGAGGAGGGGGAGGGGGTGGTGACCGGGGGAAGCAGGGCCCTGCAAACAGTGGCATCTTCAAACCGCCCCTCTGGGTGGGAGAAACCCTTGCTCGGGGCCTAGAGACTGGGTCCTCACCTTCCCTGCACACGCTGATCCTGAGGAAGGGCCCTTCCTCTCGGGGTCCACGAGAGAGCAACCCCCACTGGGCCAGGGCCCTGGGGTGCAGAAACCTCTGGATCCAACAGATATGTGGGTGTCGTGTGTGTGTCAGGGGAGTGGCTTCACCGTGGGTAAGAGACCTCAGGCTTTCGGCAGATGGAAGGCGTCCTGACGCCGGTGGAGGAGGTGAGGACCCGTGGGCGGTCACGGGGGTCGGCGATGCGTGGCCGCGGGGGATGCTGCAGTCACAGAGCGGCTCACTCCCGGTTACTCGTCTGCAGTACCAGGCTCCCTGCACTCGCATTTGCTCGCGCACTGACAGAAACAGAGTAGGAACAGATTTGCGCGTGTGTCCGTGACAGGTGGACCGGCTGGGGAAGGGCCTCTCTGCCTCATCAAGCACGGTCTCTATGTCAGATGACTGTTTATTGAAACGTGTGATGTCATTTTGTTCAGATCGGTGGGGTTCCAGTTATTGCAGTGCTAACTCAACCCCAAAGAAATGATCCCACGCTCTGGTCATAGAAAATCAAGACTGATTTGATTTACGTGCATAAATCGTGAGCATATTTGCAGGGCTGGACAGTAGCGTCATCTCAGGCGGGAACACGGAGCAGTGGGGTTAGGGTCTGCAGGGAGGGGGATGGAGAGCCCAAAGACGGGCCGAGAACTTCCTGACAGTTGAGGGACAGCTCGTGCCTATGCTCCGTAAACAGATGGCAGTAGCTCTCATGCTGGTGCTTGATTCCAACAGACACGTTTAGAAGAGTGACCTAACAGTTTTATTTTAAGAAGCCAATATTTATAATATGCTGGAAATTATGTCCCTTGCAGCTGTTAAAACTAGGGACGAGCAGCTTAAGCTGTCAGCTCCCATACAGGGAATGTCAGCAAGGAGGTCGGTGGTGCCTGCAGCCAGGCATCAGGTGGGGTCAGGGACCGAGGGCCGGACCGAGGGCTGGACTGGGGACACGGGCATGGGAGGCGATGTGGGGGCAGGTGCTGGGTCCAGAGGGAGAGAGGACCCAGGGGCAGCCTGGGTTACCCCCCACCCCCACCAGAGGTGGCTTTGGACAGGAGACAGGAAGGGAGGGGAGCTTAGGAAGGCACCCCCAGAGAGACTAAGGAAGACTAGGACTTTGCAGAGGGAGGGCGTGAGGGCTCCCTGCAGAGTGCCTCCCCACTCTGGGTGCCTAGCGCTGATGGAGGGCTGGCTCATCAAGATGGAAGGCGACGTGGCTGATGGGTGCGCCTGGGTGGAGCCGTGGGGGCGAGTCCTCCCCTTCAAGAGAGACAGGGAGGTGAGGAAGCCAACAGAGTTCTTCCCGGGAGTTTTGCAACAGAAAGAAACAGAAATGGGGCTTTAGAGCCATGGGGGAGGTGATGTAAGGAAAACATTTTTGTTTGTTTTAATGAGTGAGCTCTAGTTGAG